TAGCACCCATTCCATATTGATCATCTGAAAAAGACACGGTATGTTCTAGGCCCACAGAGAGGAGGGCTGTATCTAAATATAGACTCATCCCCAGGAACCGCTGCCAGTCTGAGTCGAGTGGTGTGAATAACCGAAGGGGCAGCCTGAAGGGGCAGACGCCCGAGAGGTGGGGGCAGCGATGCAGGCCATCCCTACCCCCATCTCCCCTGCTCCTGCTCCAGCAGCCAACCCTACCCCAGGAGGAGCTGGCCCCTGCCCCAGGGCCTTGGCACTTGCAGTTCCTGCTCTCCAAGACATTCTTTCCCCACGCCTCTACAGGATTGGCTCTTTCTTGTCATCTGGGTCTCAGCTCCTTGTCCCGCTTTGGCCGGCCAGTCCAGAGTGACCCTCCTCTCGCCATCACCCGGGTCACTACCTAAAACGACCTCTGTAGCTACCTGCTTCGCAGTATCCAGTCTGTCTTTCCCCCAATAGTATGGACTAGGAGACTTCCTGAGAGCAGTTATTGCGTCCGCAGTGTAGTAAACCTGCTAGAAACTTCCATGGCACGGAGTAGGTGCTGAATGTCCTACCCAGGCTCTCTGACACCATCCCAGGCTGGACTCGGACGGGGACCTCGGCCTCAGGCCCGTCTGGGCTGGCAGAAGGAGGCCGTGGGCCTCCAGTCCCAGCCTCAGCCTGCAGTCCGGCCACCCCTGAGACTGGCTGCTCATGCTCCCTGCAGTGTCCGGCCTCTGTCCACAGGCTGCCGCTGGCTTTGCCTCCTCCTCTCTCTGATGCTGGGGATTTTAGCCACAGGATTGGATCCCAGTCCCTCTACTCCTGGATACCTGCTCTCCCACGACCCCATCTTGTCCCCAAACATCGCTTTCCGGGTCACTTTTTCCCCCTCAGAGCAGGATCTCCCGCCCCCTGCTGCCGCCACCCCCAGCAGGAAACATGCTCTGCCATCAAAACCTCCCTCAGAGCTTCCCAGCAGGAGCCAGTCCAGCCCAGGCCTTCCCGGCGGCCAACCCCTGGGCAAACCAGAGCAACTGGGGACCCCCCCACCCCCACCCCCACCCCAACTTCCACCTCCAGCCCTCCAGCCCCTGGCTGTGAGGAAGAGGGATTCTCCCTATCAGCACCTGCACATGGTGCACTGCGTGGGCACCCGGGTCCACTCCAGGCTCTCCCTACAACACTCCCTGACCCCCTCCTCCTGCCTGCCAGCTCCCCTCTATCTCTCTCCTCCCTCTTCAACCATCTAACTCCTTGAAAGAGCTGTCTGCACATGCTGTCTCCACGTCCTCACCTCCCGCTCACTCCTCAACCCTCTCCAAAACCGCCTTCCATTTTCACCAATTCATTCACTCACTCATTCATTCATCCATCCATCAGTCTGTACCGGGCGCCACATTTTGTGCGTGCGAAGAGGGACATTTCTGTTGTCAAAGTCACCCAGGACCCTGACAGTTGCTAATGGACATTCTTTTAGAAATTATGCCTTCCCTTAAAAAAAAAAAAAATCTCTCCATGAACTTCACAGAACGCACTTGGTTAGCTCTCTCGGCAGAAAGAGAGCGAGACACACTTCCTCTGGGACACGCTCCTTGCCTTTGGTGGCACCTGCACTCCTGGCTCTCTTCCCACTCCGACTGCTCCGGCCCAGCCTCTGGCCCCACGTCTCCCGCCTCTTTGGCTAGGATGCCAGAGGGCTCCAAACTCCACCCTCTTCTCTCTCACCCACTTCATCAGGGTCACCTGGGTGCTTTGGAAGCCACTGCGGCCCAAGCCTCACCTGAGTCAAACGAGCTGGAATCTCCGGGGCGGAGCCCAGCGTAGGTGTGTTTTGGTTTTCTTAAACCTTTCCAGGTGATGCCAGTGTCACCGGGGTTGAGAAGCCCTGACCAGCGGACTTTTGCTGGACAACCTCACTCTCTGCCATGGCCCCAACCAAAGACCAGCCTCTGTGTATGACTGCAAGTTCCCACCTCCGGCCCACGTCTCCTTCCTGGAGGCTGGGGCCTCCCCCCCAACTGACCCTGGATGTGGGCATGCCCCTGGAAGGACCACAGATCCAAGTTCAGAACCCATCACGTTCCCTTTGTTCTTCATCAGGCTTGCCAACCCGAACCTCACAGGGCCATCCCCTCTTTCCCAGGGTGACAGGGGGGCAAGGTGCCGCCCTGAGTGAGCAGTCTAAGTTAGGGACGGGAGGGTGGCATAGCCCTTCACAGAGGAGGCCGCTGGGACACCGCAGGCTCTGCCCTGTGGAAATCTGCCCGTCCCTCTCCTTCACTTGTAAGACTTTTGGTGGCACCGCTGGCCTGCCCCGAGAGGGAGGACACCGCAGAGCAGATACGGTGACGCCTGGGCTGGCACTCATGCCCTCCTACTTAGGGTTGTGCGACAGAGAACCAGTGACCTAAGCTTCTGGGCCTCCAGTTCCATCGCCTGCAACGTGGCCAATATTAGGGTCCCGACCTCCAGGGCTGATGCAAAGGTTCAGTGAGATGAGCCTCATAAAGTGCTTAGTGCTCCGCTCCGCCTGGCCGGTGGACAGCGCTCGGTAAATGTTGGGCTATTTTTAGTACCATTTCTGAGGATAAATTCCCAATTCCTGGGCAGAGCACACAGAGGCCCCTGGGATTGTGGCCTTGGCGTTCGCTTCGACTCTTTCTCCCTCCTACCACGGGACCTACCAGGTCACCGCACTAACAGTTGTTTGGCTTCACGTCTCCATGTACGGCCGGCACATGCTAGTCCTGACGGGTGGACTGTACCTTCTTCGCCCGGAAAACTCCTATTCATCCTTCAAAACCTAGTGGAAAGGTTCTATTTGTTAGACAGATCCCCTTGACTCTCTTGGCCAAAGGTTATCACGCCTCTTTCGAATGGGCCATGGACACGCGCTTCTAACGCTGCACACGTTTCCGATCGCCTTCCCCAGAGAATGCCTTCGACCACAGGCTGCCCCCAGGGCTCCCTTCTCCTGGCACTGCCTGGACACAGTCTGCTCTGCGCCCTCCCTCCCTCCCTCCCAGCTGTCTCTGGTGCTTCCTACCACTCCTCTCCTCTGAGCTCAGTCTTCATGCCGAGAGAGTCAATCCTGGAATTCGTCCAGAGGACCTTGGGTCACCGCACAGAGCCTGGGCTCCGCACCCCGGAGGCACAGCAGTGGCTTATGCCACCACGGGGCTGCATGCTGGTGCTTGGCGCCGCAGGGCCAGTCTCCCTTCTGCTCAGATCCTCCTCGTCAGTTTGGCCCCAGAAAGCTGATCTCAAGGAATCTTCACCTTGAGGGGCGTCCCAAACCCACGGGTTCTCTAGGTGACCTTGCGTACATCCTTGACCCCCTCTCGGCCTCACTGTCCCCCTGTACGACGCCAAGGGTGGTGACAGCGATAGATGAAAAGTTCACTGGAGCTCATTTCGGTACAGGGCCAGCCATGCTAGCAAAAAAATAAAAATAAAAAATCCGTGTCCTGCACTCTGGCTGTCCCCTGACCCTGCCTTCGTCACACCCCTGTGACTGTGGCTTGGCCTGAGCTACTGGCCTGCGCCACCCTCATTCCACCTTCTAGTTTCATTACCACCACCACCCCCGCCCCCATGGGCTAACGGGGAGGAATGGAGGGCAAGGAGATAGAGGTGAAGGCAGCAGCAAGGGCCTGGGCCACGGTGGCCTCCCCCCTGCCACTCGAGGTCCCTAGATGGTGAGATTGGGCATGGGAGAATCCGGAACGGGCTGTGGCGCCAGGCACGGTGGGATCATAGGTGGTGCCTGTCCTCATGGTGCTATCTAGGCTCCCCGAGGCTTGGGCGTCTCAGCCGGAGGCCCGGAGGCGAGGAGACAGCTGGGGGAAGGGAATGCTGGCCCAGGACCCCGAGAGGAGAGGCTGGATCCCACCAGCCAGGGCTGGTCTCCAGGCGTTAAGGAGACAAGACCGGCTCCTACCACAACCTCAGCCGCGGCTTCCTGCCTGGGCTCGGCGCTGTCCTCCAACAGGTGTTTCAACGCGGCGGCGGGGCCTAGGGCCAGGGCCACGGGCCAGGGCCTTGTCCCCAGCGCTGCCCCCACCATCCCCACTCTCCAAGCCTCCAGCCCCCACAAGGCAAGGCACCTCCGCTTCCTCCCGAGGCGCCACCCAAGATGGTCACACAACGCAGAGGACAGGAGCCGCCTCCCGCGGGGCAAGCGGGTCCGCCCGGGTCGGAGCCAGGGGGGCAGAGGGCGCGCCCCCGTCCCCATGCGCGGAGATCTCCCCCGCGGGGAGCCACCCGCACCCCCCTCCGCCGTCAGGGCGCACGGAGCCCGGCGGCCGGGCCCCGTTAGGGCGTCAGAGGGCACAGAGATCTCTTCGTTGGTGGCCGCACGCAGAGACACAACACACACAGCTGTCTCTCCCCGCCCAGGGCGCACGGAGCACCGTCCCGGGTCGGCACGGGCAGGGATCGCGTCCTCCCAGAGCGGACTCCCCGGGCGGACAGCTCTGCGCGGCCCAGAGAAAGGGGGTGCCGGCACCCCCCCCAGCCCAGCCCAGCCCAGCCCTGCTCCGTCCGGCAGCTCCCCCGCTCCCCCTGGAGCCACACTCATCGCGCGCCCAGTCGCCGCTGCTCTGACCTTGGGGTCTCCGGCCTCGGGAATCCGGGTCCCAATCCCGAGCCTGCGCCGGGGTCGGCGGGGAAGCCGGGGCCGCAGCTCCTCCTCCTCCCCGGCCCCCGACAGCGCGCAGGGGAACCCGGAAGGGAAGGGGAGGGGAGGGGGCGCGCGACGATCAGGGCCGCCCTCCCCCGGGGATCCCCTCCGGCCAGGCGGGTCTGCGCCCCTCCGTCTCCCCTTCCGCCCTCGGGGGCAGCGCGGGGGAGGCAGCCGCGGGCGGGCGGACGGGGCCGGGCGGGCGGGCAGGGAGCGCGCGGGGCTGGCGCCTCCGACCCTCGGGGAGGAAAGTTGGGTGGCGGCGGGCGAAGGGTGCCCGGGCCGGGCCGGCGCTGCCGGGCGCGGGGCGCTCGCTCACCTGCGGGTCCCCGGCCGGGGCCCCGGGAGGGCGGCTGCTGCTCGGCACGGACGCGGCTCGGCGCGGGGCTCCGGGCGAGGGCTCAGCGGCGTGGGGGGCGCGATCCCCGCATCCCACGGGCGCCGCCGCCGCCGTCTCGGCTCCGCCGCTCGCAGTCTCGGGCTCCCGGACTCCGGCGGCGGCGCGGGCTCGGGCTGGGGGCGGGGTCGGGGGCGGGCCCGCCCGGCGCGGCCTGGGGCTCGGGGCCCCGGGCTGGCTCCGCCCCAGAGCGCCGCGCCCGCCCGGGGAGCCGCACGTGGCGCCCCGCCCGCCGGAGGGAGGACACCTCGGCTCCCGGCGGGGCGCGCACCCCGCTGACCCGGGGGCGCCCCGCCACAGGCCGCCGCCCACGCTGGCACACAGGGGGGCACCTCCACGCCGACCTGGAGACGCTCCGCCACAGACAGCTGCCCACGCGGGCGCCGGCAAACATTGGCCAGAGCGCACACGCTCATCCTCACTGACCTGGGGACCCTCCCCAGACACCCTCCCCCGCAGACACGGACACACACTGACATCGCCCCGGACGCACACAGACAGCCAGGCTGGGGCAGACATACCCGGCATGGGCACACCTGCACGCTGACATGGACACAGACACACACTGACACAGACACCCACAGGGACACACAGGCAGACACATCAGTGACACGGTGTCACTGAGGCAGACGCTCTGATGAACTCAGTGACACTCACATGCCTCAGAGACACACATCCACTGACACACGGACACAGGAGAGAGACACACAGACAATACACAGTCTGCATGATGGCAGACACCTCTGCTGACACATGCACATGCTGGCGCACATGACCTGTGGAACACACACACCCTGACCAGAAAGAAGGAGGCAACCGACCCACACAGACACCCACACTGAAACACACACACACACACACACACACCCTCTCACACTCACACCGTTGAGCTACATACAACCCACATCTTGACACCTGGAGACACTCACATGCTGACACTGACAGACACCATCTCTCACACAGGGACACAGGGATCCGGACACTGGTGGTCACCACTGCTCACCCCCAGGCTGACTGGCCGGGAAACACCCAGGAACACAACTTCTTCTCTAAGCAAAACAGGCCACCTCCGTCGTTTGCTGACGGATCAGTAACATCCTTGGAAGGGATGGCATGCCTTACTCTACACCCTTGTCCCAGGAGTGTGTCACACACACACACACACACACACACATTTCTTTCTCAGCAGCATCTCTCTCTCTCCTAACACATCTTCAAGTCCTGGAAGGAAGCGTTGTTCTTGGAGGGTAAAAGGGCATTGAGGTCAGGAGGGCGCCCAGTGCTGAGTTTGGGAGCTCAGAGGCTCTGCCCTGCCCTCCCATTCCTGGGATCGTGGAGAAGTCACCAGGGAGCCACCCGCCCTTTGGGACCTTGTGTGGGGTTCCAGGGGCCGCTGGGGGCCTTACATACACACTGGGGCTTGAATCAGGAAGAAAATGCGTCTACAGGAAAGTGCAGGACCCGGAACCCTCTCTAGCCCTGTGCCTGGGGTAGCTGGAGGCTGGATAGTTGAATCGCCTGCCCGCTGCCTGCTCCTAGCCCTCTGACGGGCCTCGGGTTGGCCAGCATCTCCCACTAGTGGCCAAAGCAGGGAGTGCAGGCAATGTCAAATTTTAACCCTGGCGGGTCTGTCTTCCCTGATCTCACACCTCCTGAGGTGGGAGGAGAGGGAAGTGGAACTGGAGTGCTCCCTGAGGTCTTCCACCACCGGCTTCTGGGCGCCAGGATGAAGATTCAAACTTGCCAACGGACATTGGGCCAAGCAGGACGCTGAGGTGGAACGGAGTCAGCTGGGGTGGGCGTTAGCCCGCTGCTTCAGCTTCAGCCAGCAGAGGTGGGCTTCCAGCATTCGTCTTCAGCGTGAGCCCTGGGGTAGTGCCAGCAGGAGGTTTAGATGAGAAGCCATTGAGAAGAAACCAGAGTTCTGACCTCATGGACAGTCAGCCTCGGGGTCAGAGAGGCCTCAGGGAGGCAGGGAGGGGCAATGGCCAGAGATGGGGCACCCCCTACAAGGAGCTCTTGTCAAGATCTGGGCCACTCCCTTCTCTTCCCCAGGCCCCACTTCATTAAAGCAGGGGCCACGCATACAGCAGTCAGAGAGCAATCAAAGGCCTTTCAAACCAGGGTTTCCTTTGTTCCACCCTGGCCCGCCCTACCTCCGGTCAAAGCTGGGTTACACACAGGGTCGTTGCACGTCCATACAACACGCATCTCTGGTATCACTTTACTTCTTCCCCTGCTACCATGACCTCACGGCCATGTCCCCCCTGCTCCCTCACAGACGCCCCCTCAAATAAGCAAAGCAGGCCTTTGGCTTTACCACCATCGTTGTAAAGTGTGTGCTAATGTTGACTGTGCCTTTGTGTTTCCTGTTTTCACTGCCCCAGGCTTTTCTTTCTTCTTCTTTTTTTTTTTTTTTTAAAAAACTTTTCTTAACTTATTGATTTTATTTTTAAAAATATTTTTATCGATTTCTTACAGAGAAGAAGGGAGAGGGATAGAGAATTAGAAACATTGATGAGAGAGAACCATCAAACAGCCGCCTCCTGCACACCCCCCCACTGGGGATGTGCTCGCAACCAAAGTACATGCCCTTGACTGGAATCGAACCTGGGACCCTTCAGTCCACAGACCGACGCTCTACCCACTGAGCCAAACTGGTGTTGGCGCAGACTTTTCTATTTGTTTCACTTCTGTGGCATTATAACCTCCATTTGGAAAAGTGCACAGGCCCTACGTGTTCAGGTCAAGGGATGCCACTAGTTGACCACGTCCCACGAACCAGCACACAGGCCAAGGAGCCAAACATCACCAGCTCCCCAGAAACCCCCCTCTTAGCCCTCTTCCTGTCACCGCCACGTCCCCAGAGTTAACGACTCTACTCGCATAGAATTCCCCGTGTTACTTCTGCTTCTTTTTGATATTTACTTACATGGAACCACATAGTCTGAGCTCCCGCATCTGGCTTCTTCGGATCAGTGTTAGGTTCATGAGATGCATCCATATTGCTTATAGTTTTAATTCCTCTGCTCGCATTGCTCCGGAGAATTCCACCGGGCGAATAGACCACGGTGTACCCATCCATTCTACTGCTGAGGGGTGTTTGGTAGTTTCTAGCCTGAGGTGACTATGCCTAGCACCGCTATGGACATTCTACCACCTGTATTTTGGTGAACGTGCATATGCATTTCTGCCAGGTGCACACCTGGGAGCGGAATTGCTGGGCCGTGGGAGAGAGCGTGCTTGCTTTTAGTTGACACTGCCCGGCACTTTTCCAAAGCGGTTCTACCAGCCTACCCTGCACCAGCAGTGACCGCAGGAGAATTCTGGTGCGTCTGCATCCTCCAGCTCTTGGTGTCTTTATCGCACATGTGTCAAACACAAGGCCTGCGGGCCAAATCCGTCCCGCCAGGCCTTGCAATGTGGCCCGCACCGCACTGTCATCACTGCACTCCGCTGCGTTTCCATCACAATGACAGTTTATGACTGTTCAGTAAACCATTTGGCCCGCGATTTAGGCTGGATTTTAGATTTTGGCCCCTTCTCTGATTGAGTTTGACACCCCTACTTTATCGTGTTCATGTTAGCCGCAGGCGTGCAGAGGTTTCACACTGTGGCCTTAATTGGCATCTCCCTGGTGACTGGTGGAACGGAGCACCCTGTCAGGGTTTCTTGGCCTTTTGCGAGTAGGTGCTTTGCATTTATGGAGATGGGTGTTGTTCTTACTTTCATTCTCTTCCTTGTCTTTCTCCCCCAACACCCGGCCTTGGAGCTCTGTCCACGTGGTGAGGCAGACAGCTCGTTCTTTGCTTCTGACAGCTGCAGGGTGTTCTGTGCATGCGCCCACCCACATTTATTTACCCATTCCCCTCGGTCGCGGTAGGGAGACCTGATGATGGCCAGTGGACGGGCCAGTCGTAACGGGCTTATGCTTTGTTTTCTTCACGCTGTTAATGGCTGAGGTAGGGGCAGGTGAAGAAGCAAGCTGGTCCGGGGTTCAGAACCCATAAACACTCGGGACTAGGCATCTTGGAAGGCAGTGCAGGTTGAAGACAGGAGGGCTGGTGGAAAAGCTCACATGAAGGTCTGTAGACGTAGAGATGCACCCCCTCCCCCTACCCCAGGCTCTGGAAAAGGGCAACTAGCTGGAGTGAGGAGCCTTGCTGGGAGTGAGGGGGTCCAGGGAGACCCCTGGCAAAGGATTGGGGCATTCCACATTGAGAAAATGACCAGCCCAAGAGGAAAGCACTTGGATCCTGGGTACCACCCGACCATCCCCCTGTGAAGCTCGCTGCTCAAGGAGCTCCCCTCACTTCACCTTCATTCCCACCCTCTTGCTCCTTGCCTGTCTCTCCTATGGAGGCTCTACCAGCTAAGTGGCTGCCTCTGCAGGCCTCCCTGTGCTTAGTGCTGGTCACGTGATTCCATAATGGCCACAGTCATAAGCAATGCTTTGTTGGGGAAGGGCAGCTGCTGGGAAAGCATCGTTCTCCTGGTCTAAGAGGACAGGGGCAGTCGGATGGACTCTCTTTCCCTCTCCTTCCTGCTGTGAACCTGCCCCAGGACAGGTGCTTGGAGCTGAGGAGCTATGGCACATCCCTGAGGGTGAGGCCAGATGTGCAGCAGATGTTGGCCCCGGGACAGTGAATCCAGCCCACACTTCATCCTCTCTTCCACTCTCCTGTAAGCAGATGAGATGCAGCTGCCTGTGCTCGCAGTCAGATGGTCCTGGGTGGGACGGGATCTGCAAGCGCAGTGCTCATAGAACTAACTGTTGACCAGCCCCTCTGTTTTAGCCGCACCCCCTCCCCTCTCTCTCAGGAACCTGCAGCCTGGGCCCCGGAAACGTCCCTGGGGTTTTGAGGAGGCACCTCTCTGCGGGCACTTTGAACCCAGCCTTGCCTGCCCCTGCTAAGGCAGTTACTGCTCAAGCTTCCAGAAAGTTCTCGTCCATCTGTTGTTGCTTCCTCTTCTATATTTTTCTGTCCTGGTAGGGTTGATGACTTTCAAAATTATTTTGCTGTCTTTGGACGAAACAGTTTGAAGACATCAAGAGATGTCTTCAAACGCGTTATGTTTTGAAGAAAGTCCTGTGTTTC